TGAACAAACAAAGCATTTTTAAAATCAATAATACTGGTTAAGGAGGCTATGTCAGCGGAAACGCGATTCCAATCAGCTAGTGCGAGGAACAAAGGATTTATAATAAGTGTTAGTTTTGTAAATGTGGCTACCGAGTTTGTACTGGTGATTTACACGGTAGGAAACATAAGCAGGTGGCGTTAGAAGTTCACGGCGCATGAAAGGGGTTATTATGGTACATCTTATGAAATAAAGTAAGGCGAGAAATGCGTCTACGGTTCATTAGTGTGGGTAAACCAAGGCTATTTTTCATTGAAGTAACACTGGATGTACGATGTAATTACAGAGTATGAAACGTGCTGCACGATTTTGAACTGATTCCAATGTTGCAATGGTAGTGTTATGACCAGGGTCCCAGATAGAACATGCATATTCAAGTTTAGTACGTACTAAAGTAGTTGTTGCGAATTAAGGGGGTGACTTCAGAAAAATAAGAGAGGGGTGTACCCTCCCCCCCCTTCCCCTTAATGGGGTGTGTAGGGCAATCACTGAACACAGTTGTTACAAAAAGTCCGTGAAATGTACACTAATGCGGAGGCTTAAGTTATAAAGCTTCAGCTCCCCTTCCCCCCTCCACAATCCACCAAGTCATAACCAGTCCAGCCACCTTGACCCCCCCCCCCCCTCGTTTGAGAAATATTCCTGGCTGCACCACTGGCCAGAGGGACGTAAAATAGGCGACTAATCGCCACGACGAGTCGGACATTCACTAGCATCTTTTAATTACCTTTTTAATTAGTGAAAGTAAACACGGTACCAATTAGAGACTTGCTGCGTCATGGAAAACCACTAAATCAGTCAATTTGAGAGCGACCTGAACAACGTGGGAAGCGTGCGGGTGCACCGAAGAAACTATAGTGGTGGAAGGAGGTGGACGATAATAATGATGTTGCTAATAATAATGATGCCAAAACCAGCATTCTAGTTTTCCTGCGCTCTCTATTGGGGTTACGTCACCCGTTGTATAACTTGCACATGGAACAGGCAGTCTAAACAAAAAACAAGAAAAAAAAACAGTATTTCGGGCATGTTTTTTTTTTTTTTTTCGTTCGTGTTTTGTTTTTGCTAGCGTGTGTTTAACCGGCATTCATTTCGTACCATCAAACTTCTTGTGACCGGTCAAGAACAAACCGCACTGCCCCCCCCCCCCCCCCCCCCCCCCCCCCCCCCCCCCCCGATTACAACATTTGACGTCGTGCTCGGAGTTGCCAGTAGAGCCTTTCGGCGTCTCGGACCAAATTTGAAACTTAAATTACTTCGCGGAGGACAATTATTGTAGCTCGTAATTTGGGTTAACTAGTTAAGGTGTGCCTATTAATGCGCTGTAAAGAATTTGAGGAAAGTTGGTGACTCCAGATTTCGCTGGAGCTACCCTACGTTACGATGTTGGCTCGAGCGTTTCACACTGGCCTAATGATGTCACGAACTTTTGTCAAACCTTCGAAGTTTTGTCAAAACTCAACGAAGTTTTTACTTTTTTATACACTGTTAGGACTCTCTCGCAAAAATCTAGAATTTCTGGAAAAACAAAAATGTATACAGTAGTTTACAGTTTGCATTTTACACGATACAAAAGCGGACATAACCTTTAAATGATTCGATAAACTGTTTTAAACACTCGATAAACATCGCAGCCTTATTCTGCTAGGTGGCGTCAGCTCGTCTTTGATTTCCGCGCATGCGCGGAACGGTCGAACTTTCATCGGAACGTTTGACGAACTTTGCGTTAAAGGCTCGAAAAAGTCGAACCTGATCGAAATTTTGATCTCGGTGGGTACGCGACATGCTAGCTACTACAAGTGGCGGGTGAAAAAAAGAAAATGCGGGGCGGAACGAGCATCCTTTGTTCGCTTTCTGTTGGCGGCGATGACTGGCTCACGCGCGCATTCACCTTGGCGTCGCTCCCTTAGTAGCGGACTTTATTTTCTGGCAACGCGTGTGTCACGGCCTCTCTTTCGTCACAAAATCGACCTTGCGGTTTTTGCCCGCAACAACGCAACGCGAGGACTATTCGATCCCTTTCTATTCCGCTCTTGCCGCATGCGCGTGCAAGGATGCGCAGCGGCGGGGCGTCGAGGGAGAGAGAGAGAGCTGTCACGGAATGCTGCTGCGGGCACCGATGGACTCACGAACTTCGTGGCGTCACGAATCTTCTGTCGCAGACGTAGGCACGCCGGCCCTACGTAGTGTACCGGCGGCAAGCGTGGCCGGATGGCCGTTTGCGCGGTCATATCGTTTTCGGCGGGCAGCCGGATAGGGGAGGGGAGATGGGCTCCGTTTTCGCGATGGACTGCGGAGGACCTTATAAGAGCCACCTCGGCCAATCCCACGCTGTGGATGCACCACGTGACTGCGGGCGTCGCTGCAACCGTCCCGAAGGTCACGTGATACCCACACGCTATTTCGTTGGCTCGGACGACTCGTGTTGTCCTCCGCTGTCCCCATCGTAAGGTGAAACCGAGTTTAGTAGCACGCAGAGTTCTCCCAGGTGTATATGCAGAGCCAACAACACGCAAAAAATGCTTTACCCCGTGTTTTTTTTTTTTTTTTGTTTGGTTCGTTTTTGGTGCGTTATCTGCATTGCGCGTATCCCGGCTCACGATCTCGCCGCTGTTGGGGAGCGATTTTTCGTGTTGGAAAGTGCCCGATGCAGCCGAGTGGCTTCGGGTTATCTGCTCGGACGCCGGGACGTACGGGCTGGGGGGCTCTCTTTGGGGGCTTAGGGACGTCCGGTCGTCTCGGGCTCGCTCGTTTAGTTCCTCGTTTTCGTCTCACCCGGAAGGAGGCGTCTGGTGGGAAGAACCGGCCGAGGAAGGGCGACATTGAAGTTTCAGGGACAGTCGGAATCACTCGCCTCATATATATCCGCCGTGCCACGATTGTCAGGAAACTTGGTGGCAGCGGTCCGGTGTATGTTAGCCGCAGTCGGTGTAACTGCGCGTGCTCCGTCTCTTTAATTTGTACGATGTGCGATGAAGTGCCAATAGACACGCGTCGCTGGTACATTATTCCACGTGCGTGATCGTAACGTCGGAGGAAAAATGTACGAGTACGATTGAATGGTCAGAGCGGTCGGGACACGTGAATCGTCAAATCTGAGATAGCGTTTGTTGCTAGGGCTCGTTAGATGGGGTTACTACATGTTTAGCAAACTTGTTTCTGCAAGCAACGCGTAGTATCGTGGGAAATCGCGGGAGCGTCGGATATTCAGGAAGGCCCCGATGTTTGGAAGGTCGGTGACGTAGTGCAACTTCGACCCTTCTCTCGGACCCGGTACTTTTTTTTTTTTTTTTTATTTTATTTAAGAATACTGTCAGCCTTCACTTGAAGGCTATTACAGGAGAGGTAACAACAATATATATAGTCATATCAAAAATTTGAACTCTATACATATGTACGTAATAGAAGACTGTTATACAATTTTTAATTGAAGACAACGTGAACCATATCGCCACACTTTGTAAAAAGAAGTGAAATAGAAAAAAAGGAAAAACGCCCTTCTTATTTATTGCTGAGTAAATATCTTTTCTAAAGAAGACTCGAATTGGGACATATTTGCAGAATTAATGACATAATCTGGAAGTTGGTTCCAGTCTTCAATTGTTTGCACAAAGAATGAATATTTAAAAACGTCTATCCTACTATTATACGGTTGGATTGTTTTATTGTGATTTAATCTGCGCGATCGTTTATGTGTTTCATTTAAATATAGTTCAGGTTCAATGTTTAAGTGATTGTTATACAACGCAAATAAGAACTTTAGCCGCGCTATTCTCCGTCTAGTTTCTAATGATTGAAGTCCACACTGGCTAAGCATTTCAGTCACAGAGTCTGTTCGTTTGTATTTATTGAGAATGAAACGTGCAGCCTGCCTTTGAATTTTTTCTAGTCTATTGATGTCTACTTTTTTGTTTGGACTCCATACAATGCTGGCGTACTCTAAAATAGGACGGATCATTGTCTTATAAGCTGTGATTTTAGCATTACTAGTTGCATGTTTTAACTTTCGTTTAAGAAAGCACAAACTTCGATAGGCAGAGGAGTAGACATTATCTATATGGGTGCGCCATTGCAAATCGTGTGAGATCACCACACCAAGGTACTTAAAACTGTTTACAACACTCAAATTAACATTGCCTATATTATAACAAAATTTCAAAACGCTTTTTTTGTTCGTTATATGGATATATGTCGACTTACGAAAATTTATTTGCATTTGCCAGTCCTCACACCATTGCCTTAGATTTTCCAGGTTCCTATTAAGAGCTAATTGATCATTAGTATTGTTTATGACAGAGTAAAGAAGGCAATCATCTGCAAAAAGTTTTAGTTTTACTGGTTCTGCAATATGCGTAGCTATATCATTTATATATATCAAAAACAATAATGGACCTAAGACTGAGCCCTGCGGGACTCCTGAGGTTACAGATAGAGGTGGTG